ATATTTAATTGAATTATGTTATAATTTACTAGTTTGTTGATTTATCATGCAAATTATTTTGAAAATTTAATTAAAAGTCTAATAAATGAATGATCATATCTGTTATCACAGTTAATGGAATTTCTTTATTACAAACTTTAAAAATAGCATTGCCTTTGTAAAAATTAAGAATATTATTAAACTTTAATTAAGAATGGATATTTTGCAAAGGCTAATCTTAAGTGTTTTATAAAAGCATTATTTAATATTGAATAATATTTTAAGGAATATGAATATTTAACCAAAATAATATTTTGAAAATTTATTCAAAATTAATCCAACACTCTTAGAATATATTTTTAAATGCTCCAATAGCAATTTGCCATCGAATCTTATGTAATGGAATTAATAATTCTTTATATTTAATAAATAAATTGGTATGTTGAGATAGTTTAAGCTACAACCAAGCCTTTCTTTAATCATCTAAACATATGCTCAATTGCATTTAACTCTGGTCGATATGCAGGTGTAAATAGACAAACTTATCCTATCTAAGATTTCTAAAATATATTTTACTTATGGATACTAAGATACTACAATTATCCAAAATCTAGACAAACTTTTAATTTTTATAATGAATTTTAGCTTTGTTGATTACTGATATTATAAAGTTCTGAAATATATAGGCCTTCCCAGCCTGGAAAAGAGCTAGAATTATAAAATGCAATCATCTCCTAATATTCCGATTAAGTACTTAAGACTTGATTACCTCTATGTCGATTCTTTGAAATTTCCTAAAACATCCCATTACTTATGGGCTGATTTAGATGTATTCCCTAATGAAAATCTTCTATTTACACAAACTAATATTAATTTGATAGATAACTGCATATTTGAGATATTAACTTTTTTGTCTCTTCATCTTTTTCTGCTTTAGAAAAAAGCTGGAGGAGCTTTTTCCTTATTAAATATTTCCTCTTTTTTCTTAACTAATGAATTTTGATCAATTATTTTTATTCTTGTTGATAAATAATCAATTTTTTTAGAATAGCTTTACTCTTAATCAATGAAGATTATTAAAGCAAAGCTTTTCAATTTTGAGATTGATGATTTGTTCTTAATTTGATGCTTTCTATACCAAAGTATCAGCATTAATCATTGAAATTTTTATGCTAACCTAGTAAAGGTTAACATACATAAATCACGGACTACCTATTAATATTTTGAAATAATTAATATTTATATACTATATATTTTCAAAATTTGTTCTTAAGACCTGATTCTTACTGGAATAATGTTTTTATGTAAAAAATACTTAACATACTTTGTCAGGCACAGATTTTTTGATTTTTATTGATAATTAAATTAATAATTAAGTATAAAGTAAGATTCTTCTAAATTAAAATGATTATGTAAAATATGAAGTTAACTAGGTAAGATGCTAATTAATTAACCTCATACCTAGAGTAGTCATATTATGGATTATTGATTAAGGGAAAATATTTGCCCAAATTGACTTCAAACAATTAAACGTCAGAGTATTTATTAGAAAGCTTATATGATATAAGGTTGTTTACATTAGAACAATAAATGTAATTTGTTAATAAGATATATCAAAATAAAAGAAAATTTCACAGGATAAATGATTGGAAGATGATAAAAATTTGAAAAAAAAATTTTGAAATTTAAGATAGATAGTAAAAGCAAACTTTTTCAAAAATGCGAAAAAGACATTTAAATGATCGAGAATAGGATTAAGGCTATTAATGGTAAATGACACATTTACTCAAGAAAGAAAAAATATTATATTATTAATTGATTTATTAATTTATACCTTCTTTAAAAGTTTCCTTAAATTCTAGCATTTTCTTGCTCAGGTTTTGGTTTTTGAATAATTAATTGAATTTAATTTTATGAATCTAGATTAAAAGAATTGATGCTACTATTAAACTAAAAATAAAGATAATTACTTTAATAATTATGAGTTATCGCTAATATTTATGAGTTTTCCCAAATATTTCTAAGTTGCCCCATAAATTATGATTTATTTTAATCATATAGTTAAGATTTGCTTCTCTTTATAATTTAGTGATCCAAACTTGGGTTTACTATTTTTTATGACTTGCACAATTCTTTCTCCTTTTCCAACAATGATATGAACATTTTCAATAAATCTGGAAATGGATATACTATTATTTCATCGCTTCAATTAGGTAAATGACTTACTTTTTACTCTCTATGTTATTTTATTTTTCACAAAAGAAACTGTTTTTTTAATGAATTTGATACGTGAAAAGTTGAAGTTTAATTAAATTTCTTTCTAGTGTTTTCATGCTTTTCAAGTTTTGATACAAAATCAGTTTTCACTTAGGTTAAAAGTGATTACAGATCACTAATTTATTAATTTCTAACAATATTAGTTCAATCTTTTCAACATGGAATCTCTCCAAAACTAAAAAGATCACTTACTAAACCAAATCTAATCAAAGTTGTTTAACTTGATTTATTACTTTTATTGTAAGATAACTAGTTTGTATTATTCAAGATATCCTAACACTGAAGTAGTGGTATATTTTTTTTGTCAATTTCAAATTAAAACAATAAAACATCATCAAAAGCTAATCTTTATTAAGAGCCTCAGTATAATATTAGTATAAATTATTTACAAAGCGTATACATGCCTTGAGCCTGTTCTATATCTTATTTTTTTTATTTGAATTTTAATTAGTAAATGTTATCAAGAGATTCAGTAGGTAAAGGTATTATATGCATTTTTCAAAATAATTATATTGTTTTTTTTTCAATTTATTTGCGCATTATAACTTATGGATGCTTGATCAAAATATCCAAATTGAATTAAAGTTTAATAATAATAAATCAAATGCTCTTTAGACAATAAATCATCATTCATTTATGCTTCAATAGATTTTTCTTCTTAGATGATTATTGTATTGAAACAATTTAAGCAAATAAATAAAAAATCAAATTTTACACTTAATTGCAGTTTATAACTACTATAAACAAGTCAAAATAAATTAAATGGTTTTGTATATTTTTTTACTTTCTTAATATCCAATCCTTTCATTGCAGTTTATTGGTTTATTGATTAACCCTATAGTTAAAGTTTCTTTATACTCATTTTAACGCTTTCATCATTTTTACTAATTTTCTAATAAGGAATACTTACTTGTTTTTCTTTATAATTTTTTATCACTTGATTATCTTTTATGCTTGATACTTCATATTAATTTACCATAATTTCTAAAATCTTGAATGCCTCATTTAATGACAAAGATGAATTTTTAAACCCTTCCTAAGTAATCTCAGTTATATTTTATTGGGGTTTAGTTTAAGAAATTTTTTTTCAAAAGAATGATTAGATCTTACAATATTCTATTATTTGAAAATTTAGTAAGTTTTTACAGAAACTCTCATCTAATTTCTAAATTAATCTGTTTCAAAGTGCATTCAAAATTAAATTAAGTATTTAATGATTAAGAAGTTTTTGAAATTATTACAAAATTTAGAAAATCGATTCAAAAAATAGCATGTCATATTAATAGTTTATGTAATACTATATAAATTTTAATAAACATATTAAAAAATTAGAAATTAATCTCTAAAATCAATTTCTCATTCAAAAATAAGAATTAAAACACAAAATATGGAATATTAAAATACAAAACCATGTAAATCTCCATTCAAGAAGCCATTAAAGCAATTGACTCTTTAGATTACAAAAAAAAACTTTTAAAGGGCATTTATATGAAAAACAAACCAAGTCCAGAAATCACAATAGATTACTTTTTGAGAATGTAAAATCAAATGTGGAGATTAAAAAGTTTATCAATAACCAAAACTTTATAATAGTTTTGAGTGAATTTAAAACATATGAATGTTGTAAACCTTTGGGATATTATATTCTGAACAACTTCAAAATAAAATTTTGAATTATTAATGTGTTAAAAATCTTATTCTTGTGCTCTTAAACAATTGATTTCTATAAGCTAATTAATTATAGCATTAAAAGATTTAAGTATGAATTTTATAATTGTCTTTAATAAATGATTTATTCTGTTTAAAATGTCAAAGTTTTGGTAATCATACTTATAGCCAAAAATTCAAATCTCAAATTATTTTGCACATATTATTCATTTACTAATATTTTTAAAGAGCATGTCCATCTAATTAAATGTTTAGTCGGTTTATAATCACTCTAATATTACTGTAAAAAAAATGTAAAGTTTTGTAATATAAGATCAAATACTTAAATATTCTAGATGCTAGATCAAATTAAAAAATACTGAAGATTAAATGGTTCAAGCTTCATATTTNTATCCAATCCTTTCATTGCAGTTTATTGGTTTATTGATTAACCCTATAGTTAAAGTTTCTTTATACTCATTTTAACGCTTTCATCATTTTTACTAATTTTCTAATAAGGAATACTTACTTGTTTTTCTTTATAATTTTTTATCACTTGATTATCTTTTATGCTTGATACTTCATATTAATTTACCATAATTTCTAAAATCTTGAATGCCTCATTTAATGACAAAGATGAATTTTTAAACCCTTCCTAAGTAATCTCAGTTATATTTTATTGGGGTTTAGTTTAAGAAATTTTTTTTCAAAAGAATGATTAGATCTTACAATATTCTATTATTTGAAAATTTAGTAAGTTTTTACAGAAACTCTCATCTAATTTCTAAATTAATCTGTTTCAAAGTGCATTCAAAATTAAATTAAGTATTTAATGATTAAGAAGTTTTTGAAATTATTACAAAATTTAGAAAATCGATTCAAAAAATAGCATGTCATATTAATAGTTTATGTAATACTATATAAATTTTAATAAACATATTAAAAAATTAGAAATTAATCTCTAAAATCAATTTCTCATTCAAAAATAAGAATTAAAACACAAAATATGGAATATTAAAATACAAAACCATGTAAATCTCCATTCAAGAAGCCATTAAAGCAATTGACTCTTTAGATTACAAAAAAAAACTTTTAAAGGGCATTTATATGAAAAACAAACCAAGTCCAGAAATCACAATAGATTACTTTTTGAGAATGTAAAATCAAATGTGGAGATTAAAAAGTTTATCAATAACCAAAACTTTATAATAGTTTTGAGTGAATTTAAAACATATGAATGTTGTAAACCTTTGGGATATTATATTCTGAACAACTTCAAAATAAAATTTTGAATTATTAATGTGTTAAAAATCTTATTCTTGTGCTCTTAAACAATTGATTTCTATAAGCTAATTAATTATAGCATTAAAAGATTTAAGTATGAATTTTATAATTGTCTTTAATAAATGATTTATTCTGTTTAAAATGTCAAAGTTTTGGTAATCATACTTATAGCCAAAAATTCAAATCTCAAATTATTTTGCACATATTATTCATTTACTAATATTTTTAAAGAGCATGTCCATCTAATTAAATGTTTAGTCGGTTTATAATCACTCTAATATTACTGTAAAAAAAATGTAAAGTTTTGTAATATAAGATCAAATACTTAAATATTCTAGATGCTAGATCAAATTAAAAAATACTGAAGATTAAATGGTTCAAGCTTCATATTTGAAAATAAATTTTAACATTTCAAGCAGTTAAGCTTGTTTAAAATCAATTGTTTTTAAATATAATAGCATATGCATAAATATACATATGATATTATTTCTAATGTTCAGAGATTTGGATGAATTAATATTATATCAATTAATTTTTTTTTCCTTCCATAAATAAAGAACCCTTGACAGTTATGATGCCTTATGTCTCACAAATGATAAATAATGACCAAATGAAGAGCATAGCCGATCTCAACAGCAAAATATAATGAAGTAATATTAATTATATTTGCTTGTGAGATTAGCTATATAATTTAGTTAGACTTCTCAGAGTTTTCTATTACTATATTTTTAATTAATTTAAATCATATTGATAAATTTATTTTGTTAATATAAAAACAATTTACTTATTTTGACCTAGCTATATTTTTTCATAATTAATTCATATTGAATAATTTAATATTATCATTAGTTTATTATCAACAATGAGATTTTTTGTATTTTTTCTAATTGATTCTTCTATCAAATGATTAGTGTAAATAATCAAAAATTCAATTTTATTCAAAGCCATCTCAAAATATGGGACCTAAGATAGTACATAATTATCAATGACTTTTTTATTAAGACTATTAAAAAATTGATGAATTATAAATTGAAAATCAGCGAATTAATGCAGTTAAATTTATTCATATAATTTTTATAACTATACTATAATTTTTCTATCTGAATAGGCTATTGTCAGTATGGCGGTAGAAATAGTTATTATGTGACTCCCAAGAATGATTTTCTTTTTATGCACTGGACTATTATCAATTATGATAACGAAATTAGTATTCTTAATACTCTCTAAATGCCTACATTAAGTCTAATAGATGTTGTGCATACAGATTAGAATCTACATTACCTTAAACTACTTGATATGCAATGAAGCTTTCTTGCCTTATAGCTCCAAAATTCCAATGTTTGCCAAAATATTTTAGGTTACTAGAAATTTATACTAACTTTTTATTTTCAAACTATTATCAGCGTTTTTCTAGTCTTCAATGATATTAAATGATCGATATTTTACATATGTTTTTTTCTTTAGAATACTATAATCATTATTTCTATTTTCTGCATATTGGAATTTCTTGGTGCTATAAAGTCTGAGGTTAATTTAGATTCTATAAAGATTTTAATGCTCTTTTATTTTTTGTTCAATTTTATCTTACTCTTTTTTTTTTCTATAATTTTAGTTTAATGTTTTTTAGATATCGCTATGAGATTCTGTGTCTCCTTTCCTCTACTTTTAGTGAGTTCATTAAAAAGTTTGATTTATTTTTTGCGACCAAGAAGAGATATCCAAAGAATTTAACAGTCTGATTATTATTAAGAAAAATACTATTATCATCTTTAGTAATTCCAAGTCCTTTTCTGAATCAATAAATTTCTTGAAAATTACACTCTCTTTATTTAAATGTTAAGCACATTTTTTTATTCTAGTAATTTTTCGAGGAAATTTTTACAATATCTTTTTCTATCCTGAAACATTTTCCTAAAGCAAAATTCAATAAGTATTCACTGGTCGCAGAAGAGGTAAGATCAAGAATTGAGTAATTTTTTAGTACTAATGCAGAGTGCATTGCTTCTATTCCGCCATAAAAATAATTTACTTCTTCAAATGATATTGCCTATGTAACTATATGTGTACTGAAGGTTCATAAATATAACATCATAAATAAACGCGAATGCTAAAGGTCTAATTTAAAATTTTTTTTATTTATATTGAATTTAATGACATGTAACTGTAATATTGATTATTTTTGAAGGATAAATTCACATTTTGAATTTAAATACAATAATTTAATTTGTAAGAAAATATTTGAATCACCACTCATTAATAGAATTGGTTCATACTAAATTTTGGTCAATTATAAATTATTTATTATTTATTTTATTAATTTTTTCATAAACTCAATTTTAAGATTTTGTTTTTAATCTTTAAATCTTCAGATAATAAAAAATCCTTTATTTCAACTGATATATGCATTAACGAGTTCTAATTTTTTTTCTATAAATTACAATGTATTAGTCTAAGAATTTACTTTCATCGTAAGTTCAATTTTTCTTAACATATTCTTAAAATAGTTTCTAAATATGCTCAATCGGGTTTAGCTATGGAAAATTTGGAGGTAAAAATTTATTGTTTAACTTATTGAATATTTATTCTTATTAACAGGCTTTGATGAATTGTGCTATTATCAAGTATGATTAGATATTTTTTGTTATAAAATAATCTAATAAAGTAGTTGAGGAGTCAAAAATAAAAAGAATCAAATGAATTTAACGAGAATGAAATTGTTAACGGAATCAAACTTATTTGGGGTAAGTGAACTACAATTTAAAGTTTTTTTA